CACACACACACACACACACACACACACACACACACACACACAGATGCACAAAGAAAATGAGTCTCCCATATCGCCCCCCGCTGCTGTATTTAGTAAAGAAGGGGATTTAAGTTGTACAAAGATACTTCAAACGTATTTTAGGTTTTGTTGTTGGTAACAGGATTCAAGGTTGTTTTTTTCCAAACAAAGTTAGACCGTCAGCAGAGTTAGATTTTATTAATTGGTTGTAGTTACTTTCCATTTCTTGCGTTTCACTGAGCAGACGTTAAAAATCTTATTCCAAAACAACTTTTTTTGCAATCAAAAATTTATAAAACCTTTGGTTTTACCTCTTTATTTTTGTTTTTCTTTACAACAAATGTGTGTTGTTTTGGAGGTTTTAATTCCTGATTTCTGGGATTCTGTTTTTGTTTGGTTCCATCTCCTTTCACTTTCTGTAACATTTTATTCAGACTATTTAGTTTGTTCTTCTTTGGGCACACCTGCCCATTGTTCTCAATCAGCACACCTGCATTAAACGTCTTCATCACCTTTACATGTCTTTGGCTTGTCTTCTGTGCTCTCTTGTCAGTCAGTTTAAACACAAGTTTATGGTAGTCGGGTTTATGTTCTGTCCCATTTACCATCCTTACTTATTTTAAAATTAGACTTTTCTACCTTCATTACCTACAACTTCCTAGAACTGCGTTTGGGTCTTTCCCCTGCATGAATTACGACACTCAGCCATGTTTTACACAACATTTTTGTTGGATTTTCTCACTTTTCTTGTAAATGAAGCCAGAAACGTGTGCAAATCACTTGCCATGAAAAATGAAGTCTGTAGATTTGTGTTAAAATTTTGTTTCAATAATTAATGTTACCTATAAACCTATAATGATACATTCCTCACTTAATTACAGGTTTTCCCTCTCAGGTTGTGATGGTCTTGTTAAACAGAAACAACAGGATAAAATACGACATGTTAAAAATGAGCTTACTCTTAAAGCTGCAACAGGAAAACAAAATTTTCATTTATGATGATGAAGCGTTCTAATATGTCATTTAGAATAAGGCAGAGTTATAATGTTTTTCTCAGTGTCTGTGTGTTCAGTTGCCTGTTCTGTTAGCAAAACATCTCACGAACCACAGAACAGATTGTAATAAAACTTTCAGATCATTGTCAGGGTGACGTTCCAAACAGGTGCTAACCCCATTCAAATAGGCCATCAGAGCAACACAATCTTAGCAAACACAAAAATGACTTGGATTCTTTTAATTTTTACAGAAATTGAGTTTGATGTAATAGTAGGTGCATGTGATGCATGCTTAAAACTTTGCTAAAAATGATTCAAATTAACTCTGTTAGCAAAAAGATGTCTCGTGAACCATTGAACAGATTTTGATGAAACTGTCAGAAAAAGTTTGACCAGTTGAGACTTACAATTGCTTATGTTTTGGGTCCAGCCCAATTCAAGATGGCTGCCACACAACCTTGGCTATGGCTCAGCTAATTTGACAGATGTTAGTCTAAAACTTTGGTGTGGTAGTAGCTGAGGATTTTCCTCTGAAAACAGTTTAAGAGCAATACATACTGGGATGTCTTTGCTCAAAACCTTGGCATTAACAGTTTGAGTCAACCCTGTTTGTCTGTTAGGAAAATTTCGAGCAAAACCATTGTTTTTTTTTTTCACGGTTTGACAAAACTGGCTACAACTCTGTCATTTCTTTAAGATGATTTTAGTTCAAACGAAAGGTGACAGGTCAAATGCATTCCCTTAAGAAATGCTAAGCCCTTCGTTTTATTAACCTTTGAACATGTTTTGATCCAGTTTTTAGATGTGTAAAAACATAAACCTCTAACACAGACGCCCGTCTTGCGTTGCTCGTATTTCTCTTCCTCACTCTCGGTGCACGCTCCGGTTTTCCTCTGCTCCATCAATCACTCTCTAAACAGCAGCCGACTAAACGGAGGAGGATGTTGCACAGCCTCTCCTTCCTTCTTTAAAGGTTATTTTCTTTACAGGGTAACACCTTTCTCTCCCYGTGCATTTGCTGCTTATCAACCTTTAGCCGCACGCATGTTCTGTTCCTACTCCTTTCCGTCTCTTTTTCTCTCCCTCTTTCCTGTGACCAGAATTGATTCCAATTATATTAACGGCCGAAAAAAGTCTGAAACGCTCCGGACAAAAATGCTCAAACTGCTTCGGTCTTATCTTGTGCAGCCCATTGATTGATGTCAGGAGTGGGTCACTACTCGTCTAGACAGAAAATTTCCTTTAAGCAATCTAGGCTGTCAATAAAATGAGGGACACACACACACACACACACACACACACCCACACACACACACAC